TTCACAAAGAGCAATCTCTGGGCAGCTAGTTAAACAATGTTAACCATTCTGAACCAGATGAGAGCAGTGAATGACTTAGCATGGTCATCGAATAAAATGGCATCAATTGAAGTAACTTTAAGAGCAGTCAACGAAATGAAAGTAAGAGCAATAGCTAGTAAAACACAGTTCAGTTATCGTGAGGAAAAGGTTGTGATAGGAATTGAGTTAAGATTAATTTCAGGAAGAAAAAGATCAAGTAGGTGTTACGGGTTCCATGTTTTCATCCCTTTGGTTAACCCTGCCTGGTAGCATATTTTACAAGTGGATTTTGCTCCTTCCCTTGTTTTGCTATAGGTAAGCAGAGGGAAGGCCTTACTCTCTACGTTACTCCATAGTACTTGGAGTTATATGCAAGGAAACCATGCTGCCTTCTCAAAAGAGCATGGATTCACATGGCAGTGCTCCCCATTCCAGGTGTTTATCCCTCCTTTCTTCAGGCTAAACTACCCCAAGATTTTGAGAATGCTCCACACGCCTTTGTCAGTGTTTCATCAACCGAGTGGTCCCGGGATGAGGTTGCCAGCCCAAAGGGATTCACAAAATCAACAAATTAAACCAAAGAGCAACTCAAAATTCATTTATAAAATATGTGTTCCTTACAAAGCTATCCTAAGACAAAAGGGATTACTTCTATGGAACCCTCACCTACTTAGAGGAAGTTAGCTCCTAGTGAGCATTTTTACAAAGAAATAAGAAAACAAAGAGATAACCAGTCCTAGGATGGGTGCTCATCCCCTTTATGAGGATTGCTTGTTCCCTTTATAGGGTTCTTCATTTGATCTCCATTGTTCCTTTCATCAAGGGTCGTGCTTTGTCTAAATCCTCTCCAATGGTAGCTTTGCTTCTTGCCAGCTTGGCCTTAAATGGAAGTGGTCCCCCTTGCTTTTGGCTCCCTTTGTGAGTAGGAGTATCGGATTCAGGGTGGCACCTCCACTCCTTCTTCTGTAGCTGACGTGGCGGCTCCCTATTTCTCAGCTTCTTTGCTTTCGTACTGTAGCAGAGGCAGCACCTCCACTCCTTCTGCTGTAGCTGACGTGGCAGCTCCGCATTGCTTCTTTTGACTGCTGTTGTACTATAGCATACTTCTTTTTCCTTTCTGCGCAACACTCCTTCTTCTCTCTTCATTTTGTGGTTCCTTTTGATGGGCCTTAGGTGTCCTAAACAAAGCAAACTAACCCAAGAGTCATATGTGAAAAAGATAATGTTAAATTTGCTCCAGTCTACCTTAATTCCTACTTTCGGCATTGCTCTGGTCCACTATTCAAAACAGTTGCTCTATATGAAAAGAAGAAGGTTAAAGGGCGTGATTTATAACCAAAACATGGGTTTTGTGGAACAATTTACACTTAATGGGCCTCAACTCTTGAGGACTATCACTAGTCTTCATTTATTGTGGTAAGGATCACAACCCTTAATGTGAACCCCTTGTAGTTTGTTTAAATTTATATTTAATTATTCCAATTGAGATTCTTTTGTCTTGTTCTTCATCATTCTTCTAGAACCGATCAATCTATTAGGATTGCGAGGGTTAGGGTTTTCAATAGGGATATTGGGATTCTAATTCCTGACAAAAGGCAAGATAACTGTTCATGTATGCACTAGGGATAGGCTACATGAATCGCAAACGTTAAAGATTCACTGATACTAAGGCTTAACTTGAAAAGGGATTTCTAAGGGATTAGGATTTTAATAGAGTTAATAAGGTTAAAGTCATTAAGGAATTAGGGCTTAACGAATTAAATAAAAGATAGTGCATCGTTTGATCAATTGCATAATTAAATGTAAACGTTAATTCAGGTTACAAGGCGGGGATACCACGTTGATCGCGCGGAATTGGCGCTGATCGCGCGGGCGTCGCGAGTGCAGTCTCTGATTTTGTGGATTTTGCTAAAAACATAAATTAAATCAAATCTCTCAGAAGATTATGACCTGATGGGGACAGTTGGATATAAAAAGGAAGCATAAACCCTAAAAGAGGGATCCTTTTAGCAAAAAAAAATTACAAAACACAAAAATTAAGAGGAAGCTCTGAAGATTGAAGGCTGAGCATTAACACTCAGAGAAGTTGAAGATTCAAGATTACTTCTTCATCTTCTTTGTCTTCTGGTTTATTCTTTTATGAATTCTTTTTCCTTCTTTAATTTGTCAGATATGATTATGTTTGGCTAGTCTTCATTTATTGTGGTAAGGATCACAACCCTTAATGTGAACCCCTTGTAGTTTGTTTAAATTTATATTTAATTATTCCAATTGAGATTCTTTTGTCTTGTTCTTCATCATTCTTCTAGAACCGATCAATCTATTACGATTGCGAGGGTTAGGATTTTCAATAGGGATATTGGGATTCTAATTCCTGACAAAAGGCAAGATAACTGTTCATGTATGCACTAGGGATAGGCTACATGAATCGCAAACGTTAAAGATTTACTGATACTAAGGCTTAACTTGAAAAGGGATTTCTAAGGGATTAGGATTTTAATAGAGTTAATAAGGTTAAAGTCGTTAAGGAATTATGGCTTAACGAATTAAATAAAAGATAGTGCATCGTTTGATCAATTGCATAATTAAATGTAAACGTTAATTCAGGTTACAAGGCGGGGATCATAAAGGTGTTTGTTTCTCTTTACTGCAATATTTTCTTAAATATTTTCTCAATCATTAATCTTTTGTTCTTGAGTTTAAAAAGAATCTTGGAAACTATTTTTACTTTCTTAATTTGTTCTTGTTTTTCACAAACAACAATTGTTCTTTAAACCAATTTTATCAATCCGACAAGGAAGGAATAGTTACAATAAATTTTGTGCCTCAATCCTCGTGGAGACGATACTCTACTTATAACTTATTACTTGAAACGAACGGTACACTTGCCGATTTCGCAACACATATACTATCGTTCAACTACTACGCATCCCTTATTAGTGTGCTGCATCTCGCCTGATTTGAGCAAGACTAGTTTCGGCTAAATTGGGTGAAACTCCCTAGGTTATTTCGTTTAAATTGGGTGAGACGCGTTTGGTTTAAATTGGACGAAACTAGATGAAATAGATTCGTAAATTGGTTCAAAACAACTATGTATCCATAATTTTTATTAAAATAATTATATTTCGTTTTTTTTTTGCCAAGGGATTTACGCTAAGTCAAAGTAAGACTAAGTATATGAAATGTGAGTTTACTCTGGTAAGATATGGAGATCATGATTCTGTGCATTTGCTTGGACAAAGGGTACTCATGAAAGATATTTTCAGATATATGGGATCAATTTTGCAGAAGGGTGGAGAGAATGATGATGATATAAACCATAGAATAAAAGCTTGGTGGATGAAATGGTGTAGTGCATCAAGGATTTTGTGTGAACGCAAGATTAATTCCTCTTAGGTTAAAACAAAAGTTCTATAAAATAGCAGTAAGGCTTGTATTGTTATGGAGTTGAATGTTAGCTAACACATAGGCAACATGAGCATAAAATAAGAGTAACTAAAATAAGGATGTTAAGGTGGATGTGTTGTGATACAAGGATGGATAAGATGAGAAATGAAGATATTCGAAGAAAGGTAGTAGTAGTATTAGTGGTTGAAAATATGAGTGAACATAGATTGAGGTGATTTGTCATATAATATAAAGACCCCTAGATACTCCCGTAAAAAATAAGTCTGTTACCAAGAGCTTGTCACAAAGAATGGAAGAGGTCAAGCAAAACTTAGTCGGGAGAAAGTAGTAAAACAAGACTTATTACAGTGGGATATATATTGGCAGACAATGTGTCTTAGTACAAATTAGAGGATAGGTATTAGCATTGTGGACGATTAGACCCATTTTCGTCCTATGTTTCAATAGTCCCTTTTTGGTCGTTTTCCTTTACTTTTGTTTTACCTCTATATATTTAAATATTTTTCCTCTCTAAATTTTTCTTATTTTTTTATTTCTTTAATTTTTTTCTTTTTTATTTTTACTTTTTGTCTTTCTTCTCTTATTTATATTTACGGTCATTTATTTTTATTCTATTTTTATATTTGTATTTTTTAATTTTAATGCCCACTTATTTTTTTTTTTTTTTTTGTTTTCTTCCTCTCAATCTTTTCTTCCTTGTCATATGGTTCATCTGTCGCCAACCCTAACTGCTTTGAAAAAAAAGGTGTTAAATAAGAATGACTTTACACCACAAGAGAGGGTGAATTGTGGTTACTTCTTTTGCAAGAAACCTACTCCTCTAAGGCCGTTTCTTAAAAAAAAAAGGTTCAATAACAAAAATCAAACCCTTTTTAACCCAAAAACAGAGTTGTATTAGAGGTGAAAAAGTTGCAAACAAAGAATCAAATGTAGAAATTAAAGAAATTAAAGTTTAGAAGATCAAACACAAAGATTTATCCTCATCCTTCCTCAAACCAGTAGAGGGCTACGTCAAGACTGATGTAGCTCGTCCACTAAACTCAAAACTTCCAACTAGCTAGTGCCTGAGAAATCGATATACAATGAAATTTTACAAGAATCTTAAATAGTCTTGGTGCTTTCTCAACCTATATACACTAATAGGATCACTCCACTCCACAAATATGAATTGCAACAACAAATCGAACCAAAACAGATGTAGAACAACCTTACTACAATCCAATAAAAAAATCAAAGAAGAAACGAAGAAGAATGATGGATTTGGTGAACTAAAAAAGGAGTGGGATCCACTTATTTCATTTCTCTTGCTTCTCCTTAATAGATCTCACCTATTTTTTATGTGTTGTCTCATTCAATACGATAAATAATATCCTTATTTAAGAAAGAGTTTATTCATGTTATAGAAAATAAATTTATCTCTTACAAATACATAAAAATATATAGAGTCCATGTTTTCTCATTTTCTCTTCTCACATTCCACACACTTTTATATGTGTATAGACGATAAAATTATCTCCTAAAAAATAAACATTAAACCACCCAGAAAGAAATAGAAGAAAAACCTTATCTTATTATGTTTCCAAGGTAAGGACATGAGGTCGGTGTTTATATAAACTCCTCATGTTATACACCATGATAATCATCTTCATATACTTTCCACTTTGTGTCTAAGCTCCACCACAATTTGAGATGGCTACCCAAGAAATACCATCTGACAAATACAGATCTTTCTTACATGATGAGGCAGATACAACCCAGTGGAGACATGGTGGACCACCCACCTATGATGATGTCAACAAGCTCTTTGAAGAAGGCCGAACCAAGGTGTATATATATATATCCTCTTTTGCTTATGCTTTTTCTATAGATTATAGGGTCACTGAGAATTTGTATATTTGCAGGAATGGCCAGAAGGATCGTTAGAGGAGACAGTGCAAAACGCCATAAAATCATGGGAGATGGAACTCTCCCACAAGACCCGTTTGCAGGACTTAAAGACCATAAATCCTGAAAAGTTTAAGATCTTTGTTAATGGTAAGCAGTGCTTAAACATGTTTCAAATTTTGTTTCCACTCCTTTTCCCCTCGTAAATTTCGGGTTTGTTAGATGCTATGATTTAGTATGTTATTGCTATTCTCTATTTTTCCGAATATTCGATTGACTACTAAGGAGGTGATGGATAAAGTTTTCCCAAAGCATATATATATATATATATATATATCAAAAGGTTATATTTACAAAAATTTGTTTACAAACTACGTTATGTCTGATCGATCTTACTTCATTCAAGAGTGTATGATCGGTCAGACTTAGTGTAATTTGTAAAAAAAAGTTTATAAACAGATCATTTCCCATATATATGGTTTATCTAATCTCACGTTGCATAAGAGAATAAATTTTATATCATAGAGGTATAGTGGTGGGGCCCACTAACTAAAAAATAAAAAAAATGAAAGAAAAAAGTTGCACGATTATCGAGGAGTGTGTAGAAAAAAAATTTATCTCATGTAATATGAGAATAGTTTTTTCCATATATATATTATCCATCGTTTCATCAATTAGTCCGATTCGAATTGGGTAGGATCATATAGGCGGCAAAGCTTTCCTTATCAAGTTTTTAATGCAATTGCTTCTCAAGCACTTAAACTCAAAACCATCCATTAGGCCAAAACAATCTCATACTAGTTGGGCTGAACCTCTTATACAGCTTATTTTTTCACTTTTACTAGAGGACAAAAACTTCATATTACATTAATATTATTTTCTACTTTTTCCAAATAATTATTTTTCACTATTACACAATGTTATTAAATTCGGATAGCTCATTGACTTTGTCTGGAGATTGAGTTAATGGGTTATTGATTTAATGGTTCAACACGTTAAATCAGATTAGACCTGTGCAATAAATATACCCATAGAAAGTTATTATCCAGTGTTAAGTGTAGCTTACAACCTTCAATTGGACATGGGTTTTTTATCCTCGGAGAATACAAATCTTAGAACATTTGAGGCAAAAAAATATTTGTTTTTTGAGGTGAATTAGCTAACAGATAATAATTGAATCAAAATTCTTTTTCTTTTTCCATTTATTGAAGATTTTTTTGGAATATTTGTATTAAAAATATAGATGTTCAATATAATCAAATATTTTAACATGTAACCAAATGGTGGTAGCTCAGTTGACGCATGGGAGCTAAACAGATGGGGTGAGAGCATGTGTTCGAATCTCCCCAGTACCACTTTTAGAAGGGATTTAAAGTCTTAATCCTAGACCCGTCCCGAATCAAATTAGTTGCCAATGAATCGATTGGAATATTTCCAAAAAATATATTTTTTTTTTAACATGTAACATATGCAGGGAGGGAGGGATTATCTGGAGAGGAAACTCTAAGCTTGGGAAGTTATAATGCTTTGTTGAAAAGCTCCCTTCCAGATGAATTCAAGTATTACAAAGCTGATGAAGAGACTTTTGAATCATCTCATGAAGCCTTCAGATCAGCTTTTCCTCGCGGATTTGCATGGGAAGTGATCAAAGTTTTTACTGGACCCCCTGAAATTGCTTTCAAGTTTAGGCACTGGGGCTTCTTTGAGGGTCCTTTTAAGGGACATGCTCCTACCGGGAAGATGGTTGAATTCTATGGCTTGGGAACTCTCAAGGTATATATATGCATTGAATCAGTTTCTACTTTGACTATATATTATGTCTGTTGATTGTCTTGAATTCAAGTCCTTGATAAGCAATTGCATTAAAAATTTGGTAAGAAAAGTTTTGCCATGTGATCCTACTCGATTAATCGAGTAATCGATGAAGCGACAGATAATATATATATCACATATAACAAAATCATAACTATTCATAAACAAATCACCAATGGTGATGTGAGATGAGCGGAAAAAAATTGTTGAGATAAGGAATGACAAGATCAACCGACATTGATTTGAACAGTTAGAATCCTCTTACTTGACATAATTATATTAAATAACATATGAGAATTCAATGAGTGTAAGCTCACTTGACAACATAAGTTGAGTAGGTGGGGAGGGAATCTAATTCGATTCGGCTCAAAAAGTTAAAAGTTTTGAGAATATCAAAACCGACTCGCCTCAAATAAATAATTAAGATCAGTATATAAAAATAATAATGAAAGAATCCACCATCGTGTGAATGAAATCAAATTTGAAAAAAAAAATAGGCAGAGAAAACTATTACTTTTTGTACTTTTCATTGCGTATCACTAACAGGTCATTCTCTTCTTTTTTTAAAAGGGTTTGTTGCTTCTACACAAAGATTTCACGCTTATTATATATGCCTATTAATGTTGAGTAAATTATTGGTTAATTTGTATTGATTGCTTATCAAACTGAAAATAGATTTGTAGCTCACTAACCCCTCAATAGTTTAAATATCATTAACATTGTGTATAGGAAATGTGCAATATCAAATGCATAAATAACAGAACTATTTAAAATAATAAAGAAAAGGAAGGGATCCAAATCTACCAAAAAAACAAAGTAAATACCTTTTTCGGTTCTAAGCAAAATTTATGATGTCCGCTTGAGTCACTAGCAAATAAAAAGGTTATTCGTGGTCTCTAAGAAATTCAAAATGAACTCATTTAGTCCTTTTGGAGAAATTAATGTGAGTCTTTTTCGAATTTATGAGGAATCACGATTTCAACTAAATGAGTTCATTTTGAATTTTTTAGGGACCACGAATAGCCTTTTTATTTGCTAAGGACTAAAGTGGATATCGTGAAATTTGCTGAGAACCAAAAAGAATATTTACTCCAAAAACATATATCAAAACAATTAATGAGATTAATGAGATTTTACCATGTGCTAAATATGAATGAGATTTTACTGCTACTGATAGATTATAAAATGAATTTTATTTGAGGCTTTGTCACAGTCAAGAACATTGATTTCTCTGACAGGTTGACAACAATTTGAAAGTGGAAGAGGTGGAGATTTATTACGACCCTGCAGAGTTACTGGGAGACCTTCTCTCTGGGAAGCACAGAGAAGATAACACCAAATCTTCAGCAACTTCTCAAGGATGTCCTTTCTCCAAATAATCACAATAAAGATTTAACTGAAAAATATCCTTTAATCTAGCTTCATATGTTTGAAACCATGCATGGGTAGAACCGAAATTAAAAGAAAAAAAAAAGACTACTATTATATAATAAAATAAAATAAAAGTCCAGTGTGGTCCAGATTCTTGCTTTATTTTTATTTGGTAAGCATTTTTACATTATATAGTATAATAAGTGCCGGTTTGGCTATGCTATTGCAATTTAAATTTTCTAGCAAAATGATGATGTTTGACCTGTCAGCAACATGTTTGCTTTTATGTAGCGGCAAATTTTAATGTTTTGTCTGTTATTGAACAAAAGTATTAGCAACTTTTCGTGAAAGAACAAAACAGAAACACAAGTTATTATTTTTGAGATAATTTATTTTACTTATCTATTTTTCTATTATCTTTATTTATCACTTTCCAATATCATTAAATCAGAATCTTAATAGAAGAGAGAAATAATAAAGATAATTGAGATTCTGATCCAACGATTGAAGAATAGTAAGTAAAAATAGACCGAATTTTTTTTTTTCTTTTGTTCCTCTAATAATGATACTTTTTTTTAAGTGCTTTTGAATAAAGCAATTCTAGCGAAAGTAGAAATTTTCAAAGCAATCAAATAGAGCCGTTTGTAAAGAACTACCAAGAGTAGTTGGAGAAGAAAGCTACGAGTGCCTCAAATTTCAAACCATCACCATCGGTTTACCTACTGACACCTATCAAACGAATTAATTATCAAACCATAGTTTACAATTATCGGAAGCAGACTCTGAAAGGACAAAAATTAAAGAAAATATTGCATGAAATGGATTAGTCACCTCTAGACTCATTGACCATGAAACCACTCACAATTAAAAATTAAAATTTTGGTGGCTAAAAATTGAAAATATTTTTTTTTATTATTCCACGATTTATGATTACGTACCAATTTGATTCAAACTACAAAGACGGTAATCAAGTTTTTTAAATTTTAAAAAATATCTAAGCCACTAAGACTGACATACTCCAAAGAAGTTGAATATGTTGCATAAAGTCACAAATGCAAGTCGAATGCTATTATTGTAAAAATAGAAAATAAAAGGTTATGAACATTTTATAGAGTAATAAAGACTATTATCTATTTTTTGCATGAAAAAGGATATTGTAACTACCAATGTTACTTTCAATCAATTTTACCGTGAGATCAATTATGTTGATCCAACGGTTATATTTATTTTCATCTTTGTATGGTTATGATTTCTCATATTTAATAATTTATATTAATTTACACCTTTGTATGGTTATGATTTCTCATATTTAATGCAAATATGGGAAATCATAACCATACAAAGATGAAAATATAAATAACCGTTGGATCAACATAATCTATCTAACGGTAAAATTGATTGGTAGTAATATTGGTAGTAACACTAATTGGTTGTCACAATATCTTAATCCTTTTTGTATGAAAGAATAAATCAGAAATTCGAGAAGCTATTCTTATAGATGCACAGACCGAGTACACGTAATATTCAAATCATTAGCTTGTTTCTTAGTGCTCAAATGATATTTATCAAACAGAAATAAACAAAGCAGCAAAGTGACAGTGAGAATCTTGTGTTTTGACTTGAAATGCCTGGTGTAACTATTATGTATAAAGGCTATCAGAGTGCGCGACTAAACTTTCAACAGATATCCAAGGCAACATTTAGTGATGCATATTGCCAAATGATTTATTAGCTCATTTTGTATAGCATTTAAAAAAGGCTAGAGTTAAAAATAGAAATAAATAAATAACATTACTTTACAATTCAATTTGGAGAAACTAGTCAACAATAAGGTACTTTTTTAATTATAAAAAAATATTACAGGCAATTCTTTTGTGGCAAACCAGTACAAAATGTACTGGTGTCCTTATTTCTCTCTTTATCTTCGGTATTTAAGCCAGAGTGCGTGTTTTTTTTTTTTAATTCCCTTAAATTTAAGCAATGTATTACCTTCCGCAAACTTGTTTTCAAAACCGTTTCAGGTCCATTAACACTATAATTTTTCTTTATCAACATTTTTGTTTGAAACACGGTTCAACGTCTCCTTATGATCCACAATCAATGCCCTGTAAAAGATACAAAACTTAACAAAGATCAAATACCGAATTAGCCAACTTAAATATTAATAATAAAGACACCAAATTAACTTTATTAAACGACAGCTTAGTTATGGTAATGAAATCAACACCTCATTAATTGGAATACGCTAAATTACATCCTCAATAAGGCAAAATTAAACAAAATCTTCATGTCTTAAATAAAAATATAACTACATACAAAAGAAAATTGCAACACATTAGCTTGGCGTTAATGTATTAACTTTGTCGCTAATGTATTGTTTACATACATATATTACAACAAAAGTAAATGAAGTTGCACCATCATAATCAAATAGGACTTCATCGGAATTATACATTGGTGTCAACACCCCTTCGGCTTTCATCTACTAGAGCCCAATTTAACATTTCAGTGCAGAACTGATCCTCTGGTTCCAACCACAAGGCCTAATGATAAGTAAACTCAAGCATGTTAAGCAAAAACATACAAATGACCACATACTGAAGATTCCCTGAATCGGGTGTTGAGGTGTTGATGTTTTAAGAATAATGTAAGGGAAAAATGTGTCATTTTGAATGATGTAAAGTTGTGTCATTTCAACGAAGAGAAAGAAATAAATCATGGAAGAAAGGACAAACACTTTTCCCATAATATAATTCACACATAGGTCTACATGGTAAAATCCCAAAGCTAACATTCATCAAATCAGTAGCTAGCTGAAGAGAAACTCTTAGGTAAGCACTACCCACCATAGGCACTCCTTTCAACAATTGACATGTGCATGGACAATCTTTAGAGGTAAGTGCATTTCTACCATGACCAGCACAACTTTACACATGTTAAATGTTGAATAGAGTGTCCACGGTAGGGAGTGTCTGCCTTAGGATTTCTCCTAAGCTAAATGAGAAAAAGTTCCTCGAAAGTGGGTTTGTAATTAAAGTGAACAAATAAGGATGTGTCCACACTTAAATTTTAGTAGATTAAATCATGATGCACTTTAGTGGATTTAATTTAAAGATCATAATCTTAATCCCCTAAATTTAAAGGTTAACACACCCTTATTTGCTCACTTTCGAAAAACCTCACTTTAGAGGAACCTTGTCCACTGAAATGTGTTCTGATACCGCTGGCACTATGTTGCAAATAATGGTCACATACGGGTAAGATAAATATACAGCTAAATCAAGAGAGAGAAAGTTGTGCCCAAAAGAAAAAATTCAAGACAGAAAGAGCTTCAAGCTAAAGGTAAACCATATGCACATTATAGATAGATTCATTATCAATTTACCATGGATACAAGCAATATTGAATCACAATCACTCACTTTGTGATAACATGTAATTGCTGTAGTGAAATCATCCTGCATGAATAACATACAGCAGACGAAAGAAAAAAAAAGTAAGCCTCAGTCTAAAATTATTCATTATAACTTGAAATTCTTTATATATCCGTATTACCATAAAGTTGAAAAACATTACCCAACAAAATGAAGAAATAAACAAATATAAAGATGTACACATACTTTTCAAGCAAGAATAGAGACATTCCAAATGCATATAAGTCCAATTAACAGCGAGAGTGTCTTGCCAACAAAGGAGATGCAATTAGTTTATCCAGAGGTCCTTTTATAATTAAATAGCAGAATGAATTTCTTTTCACACGGACTAATCTCTACCAGCCTTAACATCTTTCAGTAAATATACCCTTAATGAATGTGTTATATCTGCTTTCGTATACTTGGAAAACCCATTGACTAAATCAATGCATTGAGAATTCATGCAGTTCAGACTAAGTACTATGAAAGATCTGAAACAAAGGGCTATCATATAAGATGAAAACCGAAGTAAAGAGTTATCGTTCCCCTGCCAACACAGACTATTTTTATTTTTTTTTGAATAAACCCAAGGATATCTCCACCCCTTCGGGATGGGACTAATCCCTTTCGTGGATTGAAGCGGTAAAGGTTTCTCCATTGGTCCCAAGGTGCATCTCCATGCCCTTTAGACACGCGAGTCCAACTCTGGAGCTCAGCACGCTACCAACTGAGCTACACCCCGAAGTTACAGAGACTATTTACCCTTGCCAAATGATAAATCCATATTTCCCATGCAACTCATACTGCGTAAGCTACAAAAGTGCAAGACATATGTTTTTCCCATAATACAATATACATTATGCTATACCGAAAAAATACAATATAAGAAAAAATTGAAGATAATTTTAGGCACCTGTAAGTGGTAAGTATATGCAAGACCGGCATAAGTGCTCACACTTCCTGTTGATAATGCAATTGCTTTCTCATAATATGAAATTGCTTCTCGGTACATCCTGAGACAATTCATTTAAACAATAAGGATCAAGAACACTGTTCTTCACCAGTCATGATATATACAAATTAGCACTACCATTATTTAGATTAAACTTTCCATTAAAACAACCAATGATATCAACATTATGAAATGATATTAGAACTTTCATTCAAACTTCAAAACTAGTGGCTGAGGAAATTCAGAAACATTTAAATTTAGGACAATAAATTAAAACACAATCAAAGCACCCGTGAAAATAACAAGAATATTATGGGGATAAAAGAAATCCTTTAGCAAATGATAACATTTCAACTTAATAAAAGATACATGTCTCTGTGCGAAAAATTCTATAGCTGACGACCTAAAAAATTCAAGTCAGATGACCACTTGAGACTTATTCACCAACTTACTTCAACTTTCTGTATGCGTGAGCAAGATTGACAACAGTCGGTTCCCACATTTCACATAAGGCAGTTGGAATAAGGGCTAATGTTTTCTCGAACCACCACACAGCTTTCTTATACCTGAATCAGAATTTGAAATTATGCATGTTAAAATCACGCAATTTTGCCAATTCGCATGGAAAGTAGGCTGAGAAAAGAAATAAAACAGTCCTAAACTGTTTTGGAGATAAATACGGTAGATTATTTTAAGATAAAAACTACAAGTTGTCAATTTCCTCATAATAATAAAAGAATTACTTTGCACGGTCAAAAAGGAATTAGTAAATTGCTACTCTTTCAGATTTAACAAGCCTCCTTACTAGGGGTGGGTGTTGTAAATATGGAAGATATTTCTTATTATTTGTTTCCTTTATTAGCAAGATTATGTTTCCTTATTTTTTAGGATTTGGGTTTATTCCTTTAGGCCCGTTAGTTTTTCTATAAATATTGTAATCCTTTGTACCTATTGTTTTACGAAAGCAATAATATTTTTTCCAATTTTTCTCTTTTCAAGTTGGAGCCTCTGCTTTACGAAAATAATAACCAGAGCTCCGATCTTGGAGCCTATGCTTCTGCTAAACCCTAAGTCTACCTCCAAGCAGCCACCTGCCTCCAATTGCCGCCAACTGTGCCAAATCATTCTTCGCCTTTAATGAGCTTTTCACTAGCCATGCTTTGGATATGTCGGTTCAGGTCCCATTCCAGTCACTGCAACAGTCGTCAGACATCGTCAGCCACCACCGGAAAGATTTTCTGATGACATTTCCGGCCAATCCTCTTCAATTTTGCCTTCACTTTGTTCAACAAAAATCATTTGGATCGTAGATTTGAGCTTTTTTGAACCTCCATACTCAGATCTGATCTTTCCATCGCTATTTGGGGTTCTCGAAGCCATCATTGACTTCTGTGATAATTATCCACACTCTTTTTGTGCTGCCTTCTTTTTTCGTCCACAGGACGCTCATGCATCCATTGTAAAAGGTCTGGACACACAAAAAGCATGTGCTTTCACCTTCATGGGAAGCAACAGGTTCTAGACAAGCTTGGTAAAGCATCACCATATGTGGCTATTCGACAAGGAGAGTTGGAGCAAATTAAAGTAATTGCTGATACTTTTAATAAGCCTCATGACACTTGTTCTTTGGCTTTGTCTGGTAAGATCACACAACCTAATCTCTTCTAGCTTCTTGCACAGATTTCAAAAATTCATAGAGTGAATTCTGGTGCAACAGATCATATGACTTGTCTAGCTGAGTAGTTTTTTTCAAATTGAAATTATTAATGAAGTTCCATTGAAGCCTGGACAAAATTCCTAGTTTCACGGAGGCCAAATCCGTCTTTATTTTTTATCTTTTCGAACTTATTCTCTAATTATAAAAAAAGAAATAAAGAAGAGGAGATTAATCAAAATCACCCTACTAGTGGTACCCACACTGTAGCTGTAGCTGATGGATCTCACAAATCAGTTGTGGGTTCCGGAGACATTCAAATTATCCTCCTTGTTTCTAAAAAATGTTCTTCGTATTCCTCAGCTCTCCACCAATCTTATCTCCACTTATAAGCTTGCAATTGACTTGAATTGTGTTCTCACTTTTTTTCCTACTCATTGTGTTATTCAGGATCTCGCCACGGGGAGGACGGTTGGAGTTGCTAAGGAGCAGGATGGGTTGTACTATCTCATTCCAGAGCATGCTACAAGTGATGACGCATCACCCGTCTACTCCAGTATAACAAATTTGTCTTCATCACAAGAACTTGAGGCACCCGTCGTTTAGCCTATTGAAGTCAATGTTTCCTTCTTTGATTCTGGATCAGTCAATTGACTCCTTCCTTTCTGATGTTTGTGATCTTGCAAAACACATTGTGTTCCCTTTCCTTCAAGTTCCATAAAAAGTATTGAGTCATTTACTCTTATTCATTATGATGTTTAGGGCCCTTCTAAAATGCACAGTATTTCAGGTGCTCAATGGTTTGTTTCTTTTATTGATGATTGTACTTGGGTAATATGCATATTCTTGATGAAAGACAAGTCAAAGGTACCTTTGTTTATTCGGTTTTATCACATATCGAGACATAGTTTGGTAAAAGTATTAAGCGATTAAGATATGATAATGGTATGGAGAACGACAACCAGTTCCCGCCACAATTTTTTCATCACTTGCTTTAAGTAATCAGAGTATTACTTTTTCAAACATCTGTTCCCAGCTCTTATTGAGGAGAAGCCATATTAACAACAACTTATTTGATCAACCGCCTAAGTGCTTAGCCATGCCAGTCCTGTTCATTCCATGACATCCTTCTTTCCTTCTATTCCAGTCATACAGAGCCTTCAATCTCGAGTCTTTGGGTGTATTGCCTTCATCCTTATTCATAAACAACATCGAAGTAAATTGGACCCTCGAGCTCTTAAATGTATCTTACTTGGTTATGCTCCAAACAAGAAAAGATACAAATGTTATCATCCTCCAAGTCACAAGTTCTTTGTCTCCATGGATGTCACTTTCTACGAATCTGAGTAATATTTCCCCAGTCCTCATCTTCAAAGGAGAACAATTCAGAAGCTTTGTCCATTTTCTCCCTTGAGTCCGAGCCTCCCTTACCATTACCCATACCTCTTGAGTCAGTCTCTACTTCCCCGAGCACTCTAGAAGTCGATAACAAGCAAGAAGACTTAGTTGATGAGGCTGGTTTAGTTGATGAGGCTAACAATTCATTTGATACTTCAAGTGAGATGTCCCCTATCGATCGAAAGAAGGTACAAAAGGCTAGGACACCGGAACTACAATATCAAAGGAAGAAACAATCCACATTGCCCCACCAGCAACTGCAATCGTCTGAATCTTTGATAAATACTGAATGCACTACTTCTTCTATTTTCGAGCCTGATATTTAAACATTGATGACTTACCATTGCACTAAGAAAAGGGAGAAGATCTTGTACCCAACACCCTATTTCTCATTATGTCTCTTCTAAGAACCTATCTATGCAATATAGAAGTTTTATTTCAGCACTTGATTCTATTTCAATCCTAACATCAGTGCACGAAGCATTTAGAGATGAAAATTGGGTTCAAGCCATGCATGATGAGATGAATGTCTTAGAGAAGAATAAAACATGGGAAATTGTTGACAGGCCAAATGAGAATAAAGCAGTGGAATGCAAATGGTTTATACTTTAAAATATAATTCTGATGGTACTCTTGAAAGGTATAAGGCGCGATTAATAGCTAAGGGTTACACAGAGACATGTGGCATTGATTATGAGGAAACATTTGCTCCGGTAGCCAAAATGAACACCATGAGAACTTTATTATCCCTTGCTGCTCACAATAATTGGGACTTAAATCAATTTAATGTGAAGAATGCATTCCTCAATGGCGAGCTAGAAGAAGAGGTTTATATGGAGATCCTACCAAGATTTGACTCCACAAATGGAGAAAACAAAATATGTAGGTTGAAGAAAGCTCTGTATAGCATAAAACAATCGCCACGTGCTTGGTTTGGGAGATTTACCAAGGTTATGGTATCATTGGGATACAAGCAAAATTAAGGAGATCACACACTCTTCTTTAAACACTCCCAAGGAGGTAAGATCACTATTCTTCTGGTTATGTTGATGACATTATTATCATGGGATGATATAGTTGAGAAACGTATTCTGCAAGAGAATTTAACTAGTGACAAAGATATTAGGAAACTGAGATATTTCCTTGGGATTGAGATAGCTCATTCACGAGAAGGTATCTTTATCTGTCAGACAAAGTATATCCTTGATCTTCTTGAAGAAGCAGGTCAACTTGGGTGCAAACCTTCCCATACCTCAATTGAGCAAAATCACAAACTAGGGAATGAAGAGGAGAGTTCTCCAGCTGACAAAGAACAATACCAACGGCTAGTAGGAAGATTGATATATCTTGCTCATACTAGACATGACCTAGCTTATGCAGTTAGCATTGTCAGTCAGTTCATGCACGACCCAAGGAAGAAACACATGCACGCAGTAGATAGAATTCTTCAGTACCTTAAGGCCACTCCAGGCAGAGGACTAATATTCCGAAGAGGGGAAAATCTATCCTTAGAAGTATATACTGATGTTGATGATGCTAGGTCTGTAATGGACCGACGGTCAACCTCGAGCTATTGTATGTTTCTATGTGAGAACTTGACAACATAAAAAAGTGAAAAGCATAATGTAATTTCCAGATCTAGCACTGAGGCAGAATTTCGATCTATGGCCCAAGGCATTTGCGAATTATTATGGCTAAAGATCATTCTAGATGATCTCAAACTAAGATGTGAAGAATCTATGAAGCTGTTGTTGATAAAAAAATCAGCCATATGTATAGCTCACAGTCTCGTTCAACACGACATAACCAAGCATATTGAGATCGACCGTCACTTCATCAAAGAAAGACTGGATAGCGGACTAGCTGCTGTTTTGACCAAGGGACTTCCCACAAACAGATTTCAAGAACTTACTAGCAAGCTGGGAATAATAAATATACATTCCTCAACTTAAGGGGGAGTGTTGTAAATATGGAAGATATTTGTCATTATTTGTTTCCTTTATTAGTCTGATTATGTTTCCTCATTTCTTAGGATTTGGGTTTATTCCTTTAAGCCCATTAGTTTTTCTATAAATATTGTAACCATTTGTACCTATGCTTTTACGAAAGCAATAATAATTTTTACAGATTTTCTCTTTTCAAGTGTGGGCATGGCTTGGTTCAGCATAGAGAACTAAACTGAACCCATAAATGTGGTCTTACTTTTTGAACCAAACCAGTTTAGTCTTTACTGACCCAGTTTAGAACCTCAGTCGCCATCGTGAATTCAAAAATAAAACCCTCTTTCTTCCCACTCTTACCTTCCTTTCTGTCATGAACCAACTATCCCAAAAAATTAAACTGTTAGGCAAAGACACATGAATGGATTTATATTACATCTCTAACATGCCTCCTCATGCAAGAACTCTCTGGACTTGAAACATGAACAATGCACAGACCCACCTATCTTGAGCTGAAATTCAACTTTTATGAGAAGAATGGAGACAACAAACTGATATCATGTCATGAACCAAC